GAAGTTCATTTAGAATCTTGTTTCTAAGTAGTGATGGAATGTAAACTCTTTCTCCCCGGAAAATAATGTTTTCGACCAACGTAAAATCAGAATCAGTTGAATTGGTGAGTAGGTCTTTCAAAATCTTAGAGAGCACTGGATCTTTGGCTGTCTCGTTCTTAATGATTTCAGCTGTGATTTCATGGCTTGAAATTTGAAAAATAACTTGGCTGCAGATTTGGTGTACCTCTTTTCCGATTTTCTTGTCTTTAGTAGAGTGAGTCTGTGTAAGAGGAGCTCTTGAAAGACAATCCACGTTTTTATTTTCCATGCCCTTTTTGAACACCAACTTGTAATTGAAACCTGACAGATATGATGCATATCTGAGTAAACGAGCTGAAGTCATTTGTGGTAGAGCCTTGTCATGTCTGAAGATCCTAGATATTGGCTGATTATCTGTTACAAGTTGAAATTGAGTCCCGAATAGGTAATAATAGAAGTGGGAGACACCAAAAACTATGGCTAATGCTTCTCGGTCTAGTTGACTATAGTTACATTCGGCATCAGTGAGTGAACGTGAGGCGTAAGCAATTGGCCTCTCAGTACCATCTATTAAGTGGCTAAGAACTGCAGCTAGTCCAGTAGGTGAAGCGTCTGTGGTGAGGACTAACGGTAGTTTTGGATCGAAAGGTACGAGTATCCTGTTACTGCAGAGCTCAGTTTTGATTCGTTGAAAAGCCTTTTCACATTCTGGTGTCCATTCCCATTTCTTATTTTTGCGTAACAAACGTCGCAAAGGAAAAGTGACAGTTGAAGCATCTGGAAAGAAACGAGAGTAGTAAGAAACCATTCCTAAGAATCGTCGTAATTCTTCAACTTTTGATGGACGTGACATTTCTTTAACAGCTTGAACTTTGGTAGGAGATTTCTTTATTTTGTTTAACTCCACCACTCGTCCTAGATATTCTATTTGTTCTTGAAAAAATGAACACTTCTGTTTGTTTATGTGTAAGTCAAAATCTGAGAGTCGTTGAAGACAGGCCTGTAGATTTCTTTTGCACTCATCCATTGTTGAGCCATGGCAAATTATGTCATCAAAGTAGGCCTCGGTTTTAGGCAACCCCTTCAAAATTTGTGTAAGAATTCGGTTGAATTCAGAAGGTGCTGGCTTTATTCCGAAACTTAGACGATTGACACGATATGTTCCACGGTGTGTTGACATTGTCTGGATAATACTGGACTCTTCGTCGACCTTGAGGTGCAGATAAGCTTTGTACAGATCAAGTTTACAAAAGTAACGAGATCCTCTCAAACTATCGAGTACATCGTCAATTTTTCGAATAGGATGGTTTGCCTGGACTATTCGTTCATTCACACCACACTTGTAGTCGACACAGAGACGAACACTTCCATCTGCCTTAGGTATCACGACTAGTGGTGACCCCCAATCACTTGACGTAACAGGCGAAATGATTCCTTCATTTTCAAGTAAATCTAGTTCCTTGTTGACCTGATCAATAAGAGCATGAGGTACGTTCCGTTCCGATTGAAAATAGGCTTTGCTCCTGATCGAAGATGTAATGATACTGTAAAGTTTGGAACGCATCCAATTTTTGGCTCGAAAATTGGCGCAAATTTTTCAAACATTTCCTCAACTGAATTTACTGGTTGTAATTGAAGGGTAGTAGCTGGTCGGTTCATTTCAGCGTCAATTTCACACAGTTCAATACCCAGTCCTCGGATCCATTGGCGCCCTAGAAGTGCATCATGACCTGAAGGGACGATGTGAAGGTCACCTTTGAACTGTTTACCCTTGTATGATACAGAAACTGATACCTTTCCCTCTGGTTTGATTATGTCTCCAGAGTAAGAACGGAAAGCTAGCCTTGATGGTTCTACAGGTACGTTCAGATGTAGACGTTCAAAGTCATTCTTCGCAAGGAGAGAAAATTTAGCCCCACTGTCAACTTCAAAACATTGCAATTTTCCATTTATAGTGACAGAAACAATGTACTTGTCTGAATCATATCCAACTTCAAATAAATCTACGACATCAAAGTTCTGGTAGATCGAATCAATTTTGTGCACTCCGTAATCAGAAGAGTCGTCACTAGAATAATCGTCATCATTTGATCCTGAATGTAGGTTGTTGGTTGAATTTAACTTTGATGTTGATTTCCTAGTCCTTGACATCAGTGTAGTTATGCAGACCGCAGAGACATGTCCTCGTTTTAAACACTCCCCACATTGGAGTTTATACTTGTGTCTGTTACAATTTGCAGCAATATGTTTGTTACTTCCACATCTAAGACAGAGGCCTTCTATTCCGAGGGCATTGAAGTCAGGTCTTTTGTTATTTGAACGTTGTTTCCAGTTGAGAGATGTCTTGTTGGATGAGCGATTGTTAGAGAACTGGTGGGATCGTCTGGAAGACCTTGTAATTTTGTGCACTCCAGCCGAATCCATATTAAAGTTGTTAGAACATGCATGTTGGTGAAATTCTTTGCTTTCAACCTTTGATGCTTCAAGAGCAATAGCTTTCTCTAGAATGTCATCAAACTTTGTGTAAACGGATTGTAAAAGGTGTTCCCTAAGCCAATTGTCCTTCAATCCTCGTATGAACTGTGCCCGCAAGAAAACATCAGCAATTGACACAGATGTTCCACATTCATCGTTGGAGCATTCTACTGCAAATTCACATTCTTGAAGATAACGTCTGAGGTCGGCCACAAACTCTGAAATTGACTGGTTTTCTTTTTGAAAGATATTTAAGAAATAATGTTGAGCAACAACAACACTTTTTTTTGGAGTCAATAGTTTCTTGAAGTCATTCAACAGAGTTTCATAATCTAATGATTTGAGTGGCTTGTCTGGGCCCAAAAATGCAGATAGGTTGTTATAATGTTCACTACCTATAGAATTACACAAGAGCTGAGCAATTTTCTTCTTATCAGTCAAACCTTTCATTGTATAATAGTTTTCGAAACGTTCTAAATAGCTGGTAAACTTTTCTTGTTTGGCATTGAAGTTTTCGAATGTAGCAACATTTGACATTGTAGATTGACAGCTTTCTTCTCTGGGTTTTCCAATTGATGTAACAATTGTTTGAATTTGAGCTTGAAACATGTTTGACATCTCACGTACAAGTGCTTTTTGTTGTTCATTGAATGTGTTTAGAAGTAAGGTAAACTGTTGTGCATCCATTATAGTTTGAACTGTATAAAATATTAATGTATCTTGAAACTAGAAATTGAATGTAATTTTTAAAAGTAAATGTGTTGAATTTTTCAGTGGCTAGTTGATTTTCACACTCGTCGCCAATTAAAATGACTCTTATTAATTACAAAATAATTAATAAATGCACGCATATTAACTCAACACAAAATCTATTTCATGAATGTTTACAAAACAAAAACAATAGAAAAACATATGATAGTAAAAATATGTATAAATGAATTATAAACAGTCTTAGAGAAGACATAACATCAGCCCACAAACGGACCTGTCCAGACCCATGCCATATTACCATAGTACCGCTCAATGAGGGCCTACCTTAGATTTGTAATTTTAACCCTCCTTTACAGTCATTTAGGAATCTCTCCGACAAAAACTGATTGAATGTTTAGATTCAGCGTGAAAAAAACTATAAGTAGACCTATAAAAAATACATCTTTTTCCCCTACGGAATAATTGCCCAATCGATATAATTCACCATATTGAATTGAACTTTAGGCTGCCAGGTAGAACCCATTTAAATCAACAGGAAGGCTTGACTAAATTGTCAACAATTTAAACCTCCTATTAAACACTTCTAACAGTGTTTGATTTAAGAACTATATCTGACATTACAATTGAAAGTTTGTTTACAAAGGGTACACAAAAGTATTTAGTATTATGACAGATCCTTGAAATTATCATTAGGCTTTTGTAAATAGGCTACTAGTTATCGGATATTGTTTATTTTGAACCTAACACGAAGTAGGCTACATGTATAATAGTACGTACTGGATTCAAAAACTTCCGCAAAACCCTACTTTACTAGAATCTGAATAAAATTGAACATCAATACAGATAGGCTAACTTAGTGTTTTTGTAAATAGTAGGCCTAACTTAAACTTGAGATCTAAATAATTTACAGCTTCTCAAACAATAGTGTTTTGGATTAAACTTAAATACTTATTCTAGCCTATTTTCAATGACATCATCCTTTAAATTGTAATTTAAATTATTTGTGGAGTTCTCAGTGTTGTACATGTTAGGCTAGTATAAATAAATTAGGTTAAGTTAATAATTTAAATATTTTAACTATAAGCCTAGCCTAACATTATTTATAAATGGGCCGTGAGAAAATATTCCAAGAAGGTGGGTTGCCAAACCAAAAAGTTAGGGAACCGCTGGTGTAAGCTACACGCCAGTTTACGAGTAGGCTACATAACTTATTTACAGAAAAGGCTACCTAAATGACAGCTTTGGTTGAGTTTCAAAACATCAAAAGCATTATATTTTCTTAATGCATGGTAGATATGGCACCTGATGAACACTGAACAGCTACTCGCCAAATCATGTCAACTGTGGATCAGTGTTCATCTACTCGACGTTAAGCGAATGTCAGTGCTCGTCATTTCTTTATGAGTAACTTAGGTATCGGTCTTTTCCAGACATCATAGCAACAAATATACTGCTCAGATTAACGTATGTCACTTTTCTATGTAATAATTTTGCATCTTGAAAAAAACAATGCTTGAATATACTAAATAATTTGTTTTTAAGCTCTACCAAACGGACATCGTTTGGAAATCAGCAAATAGTTTGCCATATGCTAACTTAAATATTCAGCGGTTGGTGAATGCCACATGGATCAAACCTGTAGCATTCTTTTTTGAGAACAAGCACTAAAACCTCTCATCTCACAAAAGTTAAGCCAAAAAGTAGGTAAAAAATCTATGCTCGTAGGAATGCAAAAAATATTTTAAAATGACACTTAGGGCCTTTAAAGTTAGATTAAGTTTTAACAACCATACCTCTTCCTCTTTTTTTTGATAGTTTTCAACCGACCAAAACATGTCCCCATATCCAGGAATATGCCTGAAGACTGGATAAACCCAAACTTCACTCAGTAGGAAGTACATAACCTTTCTGGGAAGGATGGAGATTTAAAGAAATAAATAATGCCAGGGCAACGTTGTACTTAAAAGTATAAAGTGCTTAGGCCTAGTCTAGGATAGTTTGTAAATAAGTCTCATACACCGTTTAAAGGCAAGCTACACAGCACTTTGGTTTAAGTCGATAAAAGCGAATTTACACGCATTAACTAAAATAGCCTGCCAAACAAGTTCATTTGACAAATCTTTCACAGTATTGATACTTCGCAATAGTAAATAATTTTAATACAGCTCCGATGAAATTCAATAAGATAATAACTGTTTTTGTATGCTCGCTCTACATCCAAAACTATTATAGAACAAAATAACTGTCAAACTCAAACTAAGAATTTCAATAATTAATTGTAAAACAACTTTTAAAAGGCTAGGCTGCAAATAGATAATTGAAATTGACACGAGGACACAAGGAGGGTAGTTGTTAAATAGAATAAAATAAAAATAAATGCACCGAAAGCAGACAGCCCAAACATACTGGCAGACAGTGACAGTAACAGCTGACGAGCAACAGCTGTTCCTATTTTTATCAATATAATACTAGATTATGACACTCCTCAATTCTGGCAATACCATTGATTTTAAACACTTTAATCAAGTAAAACTAATAGAATTAATTATTGAGAGCTATTTTATAGCGACTGCTATGACCCGTTATCTTGGTCAGCAACACAAAATAAGGTAGAAATAGAATGTTATACTAACGCATTCTTTGATTGACTAACACAACTACATTCTCTTTTAGTAAAAAATCGTGACAGTTGTTCCATATAGATGGGATGTCTACTTCAGTATCCAATAGTCAAAGCCACAACCCAACTACTGTCCAATTACAGTAGTCGCAGTTAGTCTGGGTGCGCGGACCCTTGTGTACTAGTAGTGTTATAATATAGTCAATGGTACTAGCCGTTTTGAGAATTATGGCTCACTCACCCCCACAACCCTCAGCCGCTGCACTGAAGGCTTGCCGTGCGGGCCAGTGGGCCAGATTTTTTTGGAAATTAAATGAGCAAATAAACACTCCCCTCTACACCCCCCCCCCCCCAACCGTGGCAGCGCGCCCAAGCAGACTAGCTGCGACTCTGCGACTACTGTAATTGCAATCCTGCTTATTATGAGCAAGTAGGGCCGCCAGCAAGAGAAATCCTGGGCCCCTGTGCATTTTGCAACTCGGACCCTCACCCCCCCCCCCATTACTACGAGAGTAATGCTCTTTTATTTTAGAAGTAACTCTAATGTTGCATTTATCTATACAAAATCAAATATAAAGAACAAAAGCTCTATTTTTGTCCATCATAATTATAACGTCAGTGGTGTTTGTTATGTTTTTGATTGGGGATGTTAATCTAAACCTTGGACCTGCACAAGCACAATGTAATAATTATTGTTATAGCCCAAAACAAAGAGTAACTGGGTCACTGGGTCCAGTTTGACACTAAAATTGCCCAACCTAATTACTGGGGCTCCTCCAATACTTAACAAATCAAACATTTCTTATTATTTGTTGATTAATTTATACTTAGGATTAGACCTAAAACCTAAGTTAGGAAAAGTATAATGTATGTAAGCTGTATGTATGTGTATACATTTAATTTGTTACAAATAAATCAAAATTCAAGTTACAGAATTTTATAAATAGGGTTGTTGACAAGCTACAAGCTAATGGTGGAAAGTATGTGTCACTTGTCAGATTGATGGTAAGCAATGGTAGGCCTATTTTATTTCAGTTTCATTTTGGTATGTCATATATCATTGACTAATGGAACCTGAAGTAGACACCCATCTATGGACAAGCTGTCGCCAATTTTTTTATTAAAAAGAGCGTAGACTGTGAGCCAGTCACAGAATGCGCTAGTGTCTAAAATTCTATTTTACCTATGCCATATTTTTGGTTGCTGGCCAGATTGATGGCTCATAACATAGTTGCTATAGCTCACCATAAGTCATTCCCTAAGTTTGACTTGGAAAAATAGTTTGTGTATTTGACAGAATTTAGTAATTAAAAACAGCGTAATCTGTAGGTGGCTCATATCAAATACGACGATTTTGATAAAAAAAAATCTAAATCTACAAATTTAACATGGGGATAAAATGTCTAGCTAGGTCATATCTAATGAAATATTGCCGAGTATTTTTTTAAATTTGTTGTAGAGACAATCTGTGGAGTTAACATATTTGATTGTTACACAATATCAGCCTGCACTGAACAACGAGCTAACTCATCTTTCAGATGATCAAGATAAGAGAGTTTATTATCGTTCATTCGTTCTGTCTCGGCCGATGGTGTGGTAACACCAGTAATCCTGTCACCCACCAAGATCACGAAAGAAGTCCTTGGTTTATGACCATATATTCAGAGCCAAATATTACTTCCAAAGGGCTTTCACGATACTACAGTTGTATATCGTGCTGACAGGGTCAAAAACGGGCCTGCATCAAGTACCAAAATTATCTGTCCAGAGAAACAACCAAAGGAGGACTGGATTCAATGCACTTCATGCAAGTGCAAGACTCTTGTTCAAATTATGAGGATGGGAGCAAATTCACATGTTATTACTTCTAAAAGAACTAATTTTCACTAAGATAAGAACGTGCAAAACTTAAGTTGTTTTGTAGCATTTAAGTAGATGAGTGTTTGTACTAATAAAATCTGTTTCAGTTGGTCTTGCGTGATTTTTTAAACAATGTGCGTCCTTTTGTCCCTTACGTGGGAACTTTTGCCACGCCCACGGGACAAGAGTTCGCAAATGTAATTTTTTGTAGCATTATCATTTTCAAATTATACACTTTAATGATAATTGTAGAAATAAAATTTAGTTTGGTTATCAAATAACATACGATTGTTTACTATTAGTTTTGTTTCAATTGTTAATCATTTGACCTATTTGTTGGGGGGTTTAACCATTAGTCAACTTTAACTTTTAACTTAAAGTGCGCACTATTGCCCCAAGCTCCTATAATTGTTATAATTCTAAATGTAAGCCGATCGCACAATGAATGGATCATCTCAGATTACCCCAAAACGAGCTATGCTCAGCTTGGAGGATTGCATCGTGTCTATATTACATACGTACATTCCGTTACATTCGTTAGCTGAATTACCCTCTCATAGACTTTTTATTGAAAGAATTAATACATAGCGTACTTTTCTGGTCACCTTGCGTCTCGACAGGACAATGCGACATTACATCATATGATGACCAGTGACCACCTCACATCACAACACTGTTATTACCGGCCATGTTACGAGGATGAATAGACCTAGGAGAAATACCCGAGTGATGTAGATGATCGTAGTTCTCAGGACCCACTCTCTCCGCTGCAAGGACCTTTCTCCGGTCATGGCCGAGGGCCCTACCCCGCCCAGACACCTTAGACCTTCCAGTAGACTATCCATTCCCGTGTTGATGCTGCAGCTAGTTTAGATGCAAAAATAGCTGGATTGATTTGAGCCATCAACGGAGTGTTTTGTATAGTATCAGAATTTAATAACACAGGATTTCTCTTATAGTAGACACCTGATTGAGGTTCATAAAATAAAAAGTAAAAAAAAATGTGTTTTGAGGATGTGGGTTTGTTTACAATGCTATAGACCTGTGGTTCGATTCTGATCACATTTAAATATATAATGGGAGGAAGAATGGGTCAGATTGCTGATACCGCTAATTTATCAATGTATGAGTAAAAACTCACTGTTCATAGGCTATTAAAAATTGAAGAATAAAGCTAGCTGATTATGATTAATATCCATATATTAAAATTTACAAAGTACTTTTTTTATCGTTAGACCATAACTACCTTATTTCTTGTCCAATTTCCATAAATGAGGTGTCATTTTAAAGACTTTTTACTTACTACCTGGGAAAAATATACAAACTATAAATTTTTCAGTAGTTTTTCGTAAAAACGATCTATTATATCGTTTTGCAAGTAATTTAAACTTAAAATGTTTATTTACAATATTCGATCAGCTGAAACATGTGAAGTACCTAAAGTAATCAAAAGAAACGTATTAGTCTAGTCATATTTGAGAAATTACCTAAAAAAACTCTTATAAGTGTAAAACTTGGTATGTATATTGAAGTTTACTTCCGGATCAACATATTAAAAGTCCTCGTAAAAAAAAACTTGTGCTACGGCCGCCATCTTGGAAAATGGCGTCCAAAAACCAGTTTTTCCCCGATTACTCAAAAACTATTCATCCTATAAATAAACATTAAAGGTAAAAAATGTTCACCAAAGAAAGAGCTACAACTTTTAGACAAGGAATATTTCGATATAATTAACCGTTTAGCCATAAAGTGCAAAATTTAGAAAATAAATTAGAAAATTCGTAAAAACATCAATTGTCATTAAAAAGTTTTAAATAAATTAAAAAATAATATTTTATTATTTAAACATAGCAATTGGGATGTTCTGAAAATTTTCATACTATAGTAATACCACGAACAAAACAACCTGCGCAGAAGCGAAAAGATCACGTGGTTCGCGCCGGTAGGTGTGGCGTACCATTCAAACCTGCGCGGCTCGAAACGGCCCAGGGTTCTTTTGTTTCTGAGTAACTTAACTTGGGTCTGACTTAGGGGAGGTACGAATGAGGCATTTAGTTCAAAATTCCTTCGTGAACAGCGCTGTAGTAGAGAGCACTTTGGCAATGAAGGTTTACTAATCGCAAAAATAGTTCTGTTCATAAAATAAAATTATAAATGTCTCAAATTCAATTTTATTATTTTTTAATTATAAAATTAAACTATCATAACCTAACCGAACTAACCAAACTTGCTGATAAAGAAATAATATAACAAAAGTTTAGTAATCGGAAAAATAATTCTGTTTATTAATAAAACTAGAATTTGCTCAATTAAAATTTTGTAATGACTTAATAATAAAATTAAACTGTAATAACCGAACCAAACCAACCAAACTTGCTGATAATAAAAAAATCTTGGACAAAAAGTAAATGCTACCAGCAGGATTCGAACCCGGGACTTACTGTATATCAGCCCGGCACGCTAACCACTAGACCACCGAGGCCGATGGCTACCGACCGTTTTGTTACGGTAATGGCGTTCCCTCAGCTAATAAGAAGCCCACAGCTGTCATCGTAGCCTCTTCTATACCTCCCCTGAGTAAATACCACTTAACTTCTCCTTTCAATTTATATGTTCTGTGAAATTTTAAATGTCGTTGCTAGACTACCATAATAAACTAGCATAATAATAATAACGCTGCAACTCTTGGCAAGCAGTAGAACTTCAGTCTGATGATGAATAAGGTTAAGGCAATCATCTAACAGGATACAATGATAATTGTTTGAATTAAAAAATAATAAATTGTATTAAAGGGGTTTGTTTTTTACTACATACAATATTAACCTATTTCCACTGATTTAAAAGAATGCCGGGATTTTAAATGATGATTGTTTGGGTACTATTCAAGGTAACGAAACGTTTTACGTCAAAT